GGGGCGGGGTTGGCGTGTGCAACGTGGGGCATGGCCTCGCCGGGCGGCAGGCCCAACCGGCGCCTTGCACCAGGCCCCAGGCCTGCTTGCCCGGTAGATCAACCCCATGAGTAGGCCTGTCGCAAGCAGGCAGGCGGCGCAGCCCCCATCCCATCGCCTCCTCACTTGTCTGAGTAGAACAGGGCCTCCCACTCCGTGCTGTTCGCTGTGGGGATGTGGTGGTTGAGGGTGGGGCCCTCCCCGTCGCTCATCACCGCATGCACCTGCAGGCACGGGGGCCATGAGCCCGCCCCTCTCCCGACCACCACCACCAGCCCGCCGCCCCGGTTTTTGGTAGGGGGGTTGCCGCATGCGCTGGTGGAGCGACTGCGAGTTTTTGCCCGGAGCGGCGTTGCCCATGCGTTTTTTGGAAGGTAGGTGCTAAGCCCGCCGCCCCGGGAAGGTAGGTGCTAAGGCAGCTCCACCAGCCCTGGTCCACCCCCCCCACACACGCCCTGCTGTCCTCCTGCTCGCGCCACGCTTGCCTGGAAGCCCTTGACCCCCGCCCTCATCACGTGGTATGCGGCAGACCGCAGGGATACCGCCGGGATGTCGTAGTACTGCGGCGGTACATGCGCAGGGGGCAGGGGGCACCGTCCAGTCGGCCAGCGGCAGCCAGGCAGCACCTGCATGCGGCAGGCGAGGGGCAGCCAGGCACCAGCAACCAGCCGGCGCCACAGCACCAGCCAGGCAGCACCAGCAGCAGCATGCCGGCGACAGCCAGCGGCAGGCAGGCGCAGCGACCCCGGCGTCCGCCGCAGCCCGGGCGCAGGGCCGGCGCCGGCGCCGGCGCCACGCACGTGCGCAAACACCGCCAGCTGGCGCTCGGTGTCGGGCTCGTAGAAGAGGCCGTCCTCCACGGCCCTGCTGTGCGGCACGGGGTGCCAGTAGCGGAAGGTGTGGAACTGGAGGAGGGCGGGCGGCCGCCGCGCCCGCAGCAGGCCGCGCAGCAGCTGCTCGTGGCCGCGGCGGTCGCCCGAGGCAAATGGCAGGCCCTCCACATCGTTCAGCGAGAACTCCAGCACCACCAGGTCGGCATCCTGGGTGGGTGGGTGGGTGGGGGCAGAAGGGAGCCGCCAGGGGCGGGAGGGCAAACGGGAGGCAAGGAAGGCAAAGTCAAAGGGGGGTAGGGGCCAGTCCTAATAAGTAAACTAAGCTTGCATGTGGGATCTCTCTGAGCCTGCGGCACCAGCCGCAGCTGCTGCGTGCGCATGTGCGGAGTTGGCAGCACACGCGCGGCGGCCCACCTCTGGCACCATGCGCCTCACGCAGGCGGCAAAGATGCCCGAGGTGGTGGCCCCCATGCCGCGGTTCACCAGCACGTGGTCCCTGCGGGGGGGGGGGGGGGGGGGGGGGGGGGGGG